ATTGAAAAGATGACATAATCAAATCAAAAAATCAAATAATAATAAAAACATCACCTAGCAATGTGCTGGGCAACTACAAAACTTCAGAGAGGCAGGTCCCCTTGCCGCAGAAGATACTCCGTACTGGTACTTTTGGCCAACTCTCAAATCAGGATGCGACCAGACTTCGTGCTCATGCGATAAATGTCACGCTTCGCCACCATCCCTCATGCTCCTACCTACAGAGTTAATCACACTCTGCGCAGCCTTATCCGTTTGCCAAAGTGAGGGATCGACCGGTCGGTCCGCTTCCCACGGTCGGGTCAAAGACCAAGTTCGCAGATCGTTGCCATTGATTAACTTCACCATGTGGGTCGAGGCTGAACCCTTGCTTAATTGATAAAAAATAAAATGATTTTAATTTTGTTTTTGTAACAAAATAAAATCTGTTATTTATTTATTTATTTTTATTTCGAGTTTGATTTTTGTAATCAAACATATTCTCTCCTTTTCTCTATTTCTTTTATTCTTGTTGTTGTTTTGTACACAACAGAATTAAATCCTTTTAAATACGGTGAAGATTGTCCAACAATTCTCTTGCAGGTTGCATCGACAGAAAATGCATGTGGAAAAATGACTTAGAACGTGTGTGACAGTTGGAGGCTTTAGATGGGAACACGTGTCAATCCAGTCAGGCAGAGAATTCAAAGCATGCCGCAAACGAAAAGGAACACATGCTGAAATAAAGAGAAATTGTGGGAAGTTATTTTGATGAAGACAAATGGCAAAATCTCAAGAAAGCTGGCAAAGGTAGTGGCGGTCGCAAGAGGTTATATTCAGCCGATGATCAAAGGGTGAGAGAGGAGACTGAAGCAAAGTCTGACGTAGCTTGAGGACTAAAGTAATGTTAAGCATATAGGCCTCATCTCAATAGCTAGCTTTTAGGGTTGAGTTCTCCAGTTTGTTTGCAATTTCATCTTTTCAAACTTCCAAAGAAGTCCTTGAATCTGTCACGTCACACATTTGCGCTAAGACATTGTTGATTGTGGCCTAATAGAAATTTTACTAACACTCCCGTATCTCTTTTATCTGATCTGATTGATGCTTGATACAGTTATAGATTGCTTCACTCTTGATGCCTACCCTGCTTTGTATCTGAGCATTTACTAATGGTATACAGGCAGTGGAGTAAAGCAAACCAGTTGTTGGGTTGCTTTCCAACTACATTAACAAACAAACATTTAAATAATTGCAATATGGGAGCTCCAATTTCAATTTCAGCATTTTTTTTATTAAGATTTGGTTAATTTGGTTAGTGATACATGTTTAAAGAGCGCTGCATTGTGAAAGATGACTTCAAGGCAACAAACATTTATGAATTTTTTTAATATTTAGGCTTGGTTTGGGAAGTGGGTTGGCTTTTTGGCTTTTTGGCTTTTTGGGCTATTTTAGCCTGGGCTTAAAAGCTTGGTTTGGGAAGGGCTTTTTGGCTTTTTGGCTTTTTTGAGTTTTTTTGTGAGAGAAGAATGTAATGATTATGGGTTGGATGTGATGTTTTGTTTGTTATGGCTAAAATAGCCTATTTTGTTTTTTGTGGCTAAAATAGCCAAAAAAGCCTCCAACCTCACTTGCCAAACAGAGGCTACTGGTGTTACTGTTCCATCATTAACTTTTCTTTGCCTCAAATCTTTTTGGATATGATGACTAGAAAAATAAAAACTGATACATCTGAATTGCCACGCCTGTCTTCAGCCGCACTAAAGAAAATAGATAAAAGAAAAAATGAGAAAGAAGATCCAAAGTCATGGTTTGATGAAGACTACAATAGAGTTATAATTGGGATCAAGTTTCTGTCTAAAAGGCTAACAGGTCTCAACTTGGTATTCCAATTCAATAATGACTAATTGGATGATTAATAATTTAATAGGTTTTAAATTTACAGGAGTTGATCTAACTGATTTTATACTATCAGTAAGAATACCAGTATGAAATAATTCTGTTAATTAAATTTTAGTAAAAATGCCAGACCTGCTGTAGTATAATTTGCTTAGAATATGATGAACTCTATTCAATATAGAGTATCCACTTGTCAAGTGATGTTAAACGAGTTGTGACAGGGTCAAAAATACTTAATTGTCCGTAATTGTGATGTGCTGGACTTGCATAATTATGTCCATTAATACAAAGTGGTTTGTTATCATTAGGATAGTGATTGGCATACAAGGTTGATTTGGGAGATGATCTTCGAAATTTTATATTCCTTTCAATCATGAATTAAAAGAAGAATAAAAGAATGAATTGGCTTAATCTCAAATGAGGTCAGCCCATGAATATATAGATCGATATGTACAATATCAGGAAACTGTACAAGATAGGAAATAACATAGAAAATGAAACAAAATCAAGGCCTAAACAATGGCCATAACATAAAAGGGTTCTATTCTAGAATATTCTGTGTACTATATTTCAACATTAAAAGCCGCTTATATATTTATCATTGGTTAGGTGTTATGAACTCCTAACAGCAGAAACTACAATGAGTTTGGGTTCTGGTGGAGGATAGGAATGTGAAGTTTTTGACGCCTGTAGTATCACTCGAGGGATTGTAAGCAAAATACTTTTTTGTTTCAACGTAGTTCTTGCATAGCACTGCCCATATGAAGAACATGAAAGTGTGCAAAAGGGAAAAGCATTTTTTAAATGACTTGTAGGCATTATTAGTAATCAAAACCAGTCCAGAACTTATCCAGGAAAGAATGGTTCATTTACAAATAAATAATCAAAATCTGGATATTCAGCGCATTTCATGTGAAATACTATTATGTTATGGGTTTACATAAGGTATCAAATTGAAGCGGATTGAACTTCCCACTTATTTTCTTTTATGTAAAGCCACAGATATAACCGAGTGTGTAATTATGAACTAAAGTTTACGATAGTTGGATTACTGTTGCGGCATTAGGACTCAGTTAATTATGGTAAATTTTATTGCATAGAATTCAGTCAAAATTGCTCATGTTGGATCATCTGCACATGTTCAATGAGGTTTTACATCGGATGCTACTTTGCTATAATTACTGCATAGTTACTTTTAGATCATACTTTTATCATGCAACATAGAATCACTTTAGCAGAATTTGTGGGGAGTGGGTCATCTCCACTAGGAAAAGGTATTGCTCTGAAAACATGCCTTTTCTATTTCTTTGATGTTAGCAGTGAACTTCAATTAACTGGGGACACAACTCTCTCTCTCTCTCTCTCTCTCTCATTAGAAAACATGTCTTTTGTTGTTACTATAAACCATGCGTTTTTTTTTTTTTATTGCATAGACTGAATTGGAGCATTGGGGCCTAACTGCAATCATAGTACACAATAATTTCCAAAGTGTAAAATTTTATGTCGCATTTGCATGCCCAAGCATTGAACTCAAACAAAACAAAATCATTAATTTTCACCAGCAACATTCTTTAACAAAGAAAAGACAGACTAGCCTTGTCTCGGAGGGTCTGGATCCTCTCCATTATATGGTTGTGAAAGAGTCACACCAATATATCTTTATTTCAACTTTAAACATAGCTAAGGAATATTTTAGAATTTTAATGACTTGTCAAACCTTTTGTATTATAATGAAGAGGATCTAAATCATGCCTCAGAGGCTATATGATCAATCCAACAATTGATGATCTGGGACCCTTCCAAGAAGGATGTTTCAGCTAAACACACACTCGGGACTAAATTTAATCTAACTGGATTAAAAAAGGTCTCGTGATCACCCATATAGCTGTATAAATCACTGAAAGTTGTGTTCAATAGATGTAATACAAAATCGCTCTGCTTCGATTTAAAGACTAGCTTGAAATTGTAAGATTTCATTGATATTCTAAACTAGACCAGTTCAAATGATGATTGAGAGCATTTAACATGAAGATTCTGTAGTCAAATCCATAGTATTCCTGATACTACAGATCAACATGGTATTAAAACATTTTTTGCACGTTGGACTCACTTTTTAGAGGAGGAACACCTAACCAAGTTGACAAAATTGGGAGTATGCTGTTGAGTTTAGGTCGAGAGCCAACAACACGCTTCGTATTGACTTAGAGAATTACCTAACTAAAGCAGTGGACGAATTATGAGTATGCTGTGGAGTTTACTTCTGGAGTCAACACGCATTGTAAATAATAAGACCAACATGTATGAAACTTTATCAATAATGCTAGGTATCAGAAAGAAGTATCATGAAAAGTCTTCATGAAGATTCTCCACCCTTAGATTAGTTTATAGTGTTTGTAGTGTTTTATTGTATGTTATGCAATCACCCTTGGATTAGTTTCATGAAGCTTTTCATGATATTTATTTCATGATACGTAACATTACTAGCAATAAAAATGCATAAAAAAGAAAAGTAGACCAATTAACTAGACTCGTATTTCGGGAACAACATAGGTCTTGTTTCTCTATTTTCTTGGACCAAGGAGTCATTTCTCACTATTGTAATGGTTGCTTATAGACACCACCAGGGGTGGTGGCCTAATGGAGAAGGCATCCTTCTCCATAGGCGTGACCCAAGTTCGATTCTTAGGAGAGCGAAATGCTAGATAATTTCAGTGGTTTTCTGCGGAGACCTCGGTTTATACTTCGATTGAATCCTAAGCTTGTTTGTGGCATATGGTTGAGCTTCGTTAGTGCCTTGATGATGGGTCCCTTCCTTTGGGTTAGATTTTGTACTCCAATCAAATCCTGAGCTTGTTTGTGATGTATGGTTGAGCTCCACTAGTGCCTCAACGGTGGGTTCCTTTCTTTGGGTTAGATTAAATCAGGCTGGCAACCGATTATCTCAAGGCCTGAGCCCACAGATACAGTGATGACACTGTAAGGTATCATTTTTCTTGTTCCAAAAAAAATAAAAAATAATAAAAAATGGTTGCTCATAGACCATAAGGAATTGTTAATATAACAACCCATAAAAGTTAAAACAACAATTGTCTATAAAATAGTAAAGAAATGAGGCTTCAATGCTCATACTGTATATTTTACCACTTACAAGCATGTTTTTGCATCTATAAATTAATACACTTCAGTGAGTTATCTTCATTGTGGCAAGTGCAGAGAGAAAGATGAAGATTCTCATGCTAAAAACTTTCTTTCTCATTTTTCTCTTTGCTTTTCTAGGAACCCAAGCAAGAACTATATCAGGTAATACACCTGTCCTTAACCATAATGATTCTTTTTTCAGTCAGTCAACTATTTTATAATCAGTTACTTGGCAAGCACATGTTTCGGATCAAGTTGTAACTACACACTCTTCACTAGTTCAATGCTTGCTTTAGTAGCGTTTCTCTTTTTATTATCAAATACTTTGCTCATAGAATACTTTTACAAATGCTTAAAGTATAGTTGACAGTTTGAAGTCATCTTACAATCTTAAATTAATAACCTTAATTATTTTAACAGTTTCAATTTATTTTCTAAACTGTCATTCTCGGCATGATGTAGAACATGAACATCCACGTGACAAATTGATGAAGAACAATTGTGGAAGGACCTTCAGCCCAACAACAGTGTCTCTAGCATCATCATCACGAAGCCAAGAGATAAAAGGTGCCTCTCCTTGCAACAAAGAGAATTCCTCCAACTTTGCAAAAAAGACTAATTATGAAAGATCGTCAAATCCACCACCTCCATCTCCAAGTTCATCACCACCAACCAAACAAATATCAAAGGCTTTTCCTCGTGGTGAAGATCATTCCTTCAATTTTTTGGCAAGAATGGATCAGTATGGAAGGACCTCAAGTCCACCACCGCCATCGCCAACATCATCACCACCAACCCAACAGATATCAAGGGCCTTTCCTTGTGGCGAAGACCATTTGTGCAATTTTTTTGTAAGATCTCATTATGGAAGGACTTCAAGTCCACCACCGCCATCCCCAACATCATCACCACCAACTAAGGAGATATCAAAGGCTTTTCCTCGTGGCGAAGAGAATTCTTGTAACTTTTTGGCAAGAATGACTCAATATGGAAGGACCTCAAGACCACCTCCGCCGTCCCCAGCATCATCACCACCAACCCAAGAGATATCAAGGGCCTTTCCTTGTGGCGAAGGGCATTTCTGCAACCTTTTGGCAAGAATGACTCAATATGGAAGGACCTCAAGTCCACCACCGCCATCCCCAACATCGTCACCGCCAACCCAACAGATATCAAGGACCTCTAGTTGTCCTCCCGGGTATCCTTGCAACGTCCTAATCATGACAACAAGCTATGAACGGACCCCAAATGCTCCACCTCCACCGCCAAAAGAAGCTCCGCCAAGCCATCAAATAACTAGGCTACCAATGACTGACTACGGCAAGACAGCCACTCCACCACCTCCATCTGCAAAGCCATCAGCTCCGACCCACCAACTATCAAGTATTGGGCTGTTACTAAGAAAATCGCCTCCAAATTCCAACTTAGCTTCTATCTGAAATGATTTTAATTCATGGAAGTACTAGGCAGATAGTCTATCTCAGTATCTTTACTTGGCTTGTGATATTAATTGAAGTGTGTGCCACTAGAACTATAGATTAGAGGGCATAGATCAGGTGAATTAGTAATCACTCAGTTGTGCCAATGAATAGAATATGTATATTCGGAATAGTGAACTTGTATAATATATCAGAAAGGTAATCGGCTTTTTAGTGCAGAGTGTGTTATTAACTATTGTAAGACTAGTCTTATTGAAATAAAAAATGAAACCCAATTTTCTGTTGGGCCATTTTGTGAAGGAGCACGATTGGATAAGATTCAAGATAGCTACCTCTTTTCCAAGACATGATGCCTGGGTTCAAATCTTACCACTGCGACCACTGATTGTAATATAAAAATTTACAAAATCAAAGCTGAAATGAACTCAAGCGTAGCATTGTTAATTGTAGCAGTAACAAGGAAATAAAATTTCAACACAAAGAATGGGAAAATTTCAACATGATTGTGTACTGTGAAGGCATTGTTTGCCTTGTATAAAAGTTTTTTGGACCAAATTTTTGTATCCAAACACGAAAATTTTGCAACAAAAAATATATAAGGATGAATTCCTGCCGTTGTGAGTATAGTCACTAAAGGTCATCTCAAAAAATAAAAAATAAAAACAATTTTAGTGACAATTTTGAAAATGTCGTTAACAAATTTTGTTGCCAAAAGGTTTATTTTTTGTGACAAAAATTTTGCTCTCAAAAAGTTAATAATCCGTCATTAAATCTCTAATTTTAAAGCTAAAAAATACAATCTTGACACTTTCGATAATTAAAGGGATTTTGTCTCTAAATTATTTGTTTAAACTTTAAGTTGTGTAATGTCAAATTCTCAAATAACATTTATACAAACATGATTAAAATGATGAAATTGTGATAAACAATTTGGTACCTCCTTTTTTGCTGTTATGTTCAGTCAAAGACTATATACTATCAATTAAATAAAATAAATTTATATCCAAATTTTAAAGGAAAATGAGGCCTAAAAGACAAGAGGTTGTCATGATTTAACAAATACATTCACATTTTTGAAAACTTGAGAGGGTGAATTTATTTTTACTTCGAAAAATTTAGTTCTGTTAATGAGTAAATTTACCTTTTGGCAATAGTTGCACCCTTCTATAAGGCAATGCCATGCTCTTGCTATAATAAAAACATTTTATAGAAAAACTTTTTAATTGCCTCAAGCTGTATTTAAAATGAAAATATTTCATTTGATTCAATAATTCTTGAATCAGTGTTACGGTGGCCCATAAGAAATTGGAAGTAGATGCTACATGTATTTAGTGGCGGAGCCACCAAGAGATAAAGGGGCAGGTACCCTCCTCAACTTTTAGAAAATTGCATTTTAAGCTAAAGTTTTAAAAATACATTCATTTTTTCATCTAAAAATATATAGAGAGATTTATTTATAAATACTTATCTCATATTACTTGAGAGTTCTATAAAGTGAAATATTAAGATGGTTTTATTATGTTGATATATGTAACATTAAAATAGTTTTCAAACATTGATAGTTGATTTGTTTTCACCAAACTAAATTTATATTCCAAATCGATCTAATCTAATTACGTGTAGGTCTTAATAGATGAACTTATTGTCTAATAGGTCTTAAGATAATTGACAGTACTTTTCATCAAACACTACTAAAAAAATGTCACTAATTGTTAATTTTCAATGACAATTTAAAAATTATCGCAAAACATGTCCCTAATTATAAGTTTTAGCAATAGTTTAAAAAAATCATTACAAAAAAAATCACTAATTTTCAACTTTCAATTACAATTTAAAAAATTCGTTACAGAAAATTATCGCTAATTGTAAGTTTTGGTCACAATTTTAAAAACCGTGATAAAAAAAAAGTCACTAATTGTTAATTTTTAGCGACATATGTAAGAAATCGTCATAAAAAAATATTTTTAGCGATGATTTTATTAAAACTTATTTTTAATAAAATTTGATGAGAATTAAATCAAATTACTAAAACTTATTAGTAATTTATCTACCTCTTGCCGTCTTTAAATCCCGATCTATCAGCAGAGACTCGTGCCTTACTTAAGTCATTCTTTTTTATTTATTACTTTTTAAATTGTTTTCATTTTTAATGGACAATCCATATGCAAAGGTGCAATTATGAAAAGCAAGGATAAATATTTCTAAGGAGAAAATTGGCACATCTTGTAAAAGTTGGGGTATATTTCATATTTGAGAAAGTATTGGTACCAAAAGTCTTATTTAAATGAGTTTGCAAGGTGAAAATGTAATTCAATTTTACAATCAACAGTCAATTAGTTGCTCCATGATACAACAATGGAGGAGAAGAAGAAGCAACAGCCAATCAAGGGAAACGACACCGTAGCATCAGCATCAGCATCAGCATCAGCATCAGCATCAGCATGGAAGGCTTTTCTGGTACATCCGATATGCGGAATAGGGCTTGCATCGGCGTTACAGGTGGCCCACAAAATCTACTCCGTCGATCTCAATTCCGATCCTTCTCATACCTCCGTCTGATCTGGGTACTACCTTCATTTTCATTTTCACATCAATTCCATATGATTCTCTCCCTTTTATTGACTCCAAATATACTCAATTTCGATTGTGATTTTTTTTTTTTAATTTGAATTTTTCAGGTTATTGCGGCTCCAATTGTGATCCTTATTTACAGTCTTTTCCGGAAAAATCCAAAAAAATTTCCGGTATACATCAAGTTATTTTTCTGCCTTACACCAAACAAAACTTAAATATTAGGGAATATCACTTTACCCCTTTTAACACTTCAATTAAAAAAAATTTATCATTTTCACTACTATGCTATTTGTACGATTTTCATAGTTAATGGGTTAATATGTACGGTTCATAGATGAGGGATAAAGTGATATTTGTTAATAATTAAGGGGTCTTAGCATAATTAACCCAATTTTTTATTATTGATTTTTTGATTTTCTTTGTATAATTTGTCAAGATTTGTTGGTAACCTGACAGTACTGGAAAGCTGTTGGACGAGGCATATTGGGGCTTCCTGCTGGTTAGTCTTTTCAATTTCAGTTATGTCTATATACATATAGGCCATGTTTGTTTAGGTGGACATGAACTTGGGATTGGACTAATAATCCAATAAAATTATTAATTCGATATTTGGTTAAACAATTGAAGTACGGACTAATTATTTTAAACTTGACTATTAGTTAAGATAGGATACATAATCCAACGAATTCGTAGTTCTAGGACTATTAGTCATGACAATGCTAATCCAGTCCGCCCAAACAAACATGACCATACTATACTAGCTGTGGGTGCAAACTCGATGCATTTATATTTAAACTTTTGAGTGGCTTGATGTATGAGAATTGAATTAGAAAGTTATTGATGTTCAGTTTTAGCGGTTACCAATTTTAGGGTTACAACGTCCTTGAGATTTATTAACACTGTGTTTGGTTAGGGAGATTTTGAAAAGGATTTGGAAAGAGAAAAAGAAAAATTATGTGAAATGTGAATAAAATATACTTACATTTCACCTAGTTTCACACATCTTTTCCCTCTCTTTCCAAATCTTCCAACCAAATACAGTGTAATGGTCAAGGCATATGTCAATTGAACTAGAAATTGACGTCTTGTCATTTGAAAAGGCATTTCTGAATAAGATGGTTTTGAGTAAAAAAAAGTGTAACAGTTTTTTCTGCTTTCTAATAGAATTAGTGGCGAGTGCAAATGAGATACGTTTTCAATTTAAGAAAAAAAATTTGGACTATTTGATAAAGAAGAAAAATCATTCAAACAATTATTGGATATGATGTGATAGTTTATTGAATGGGAAGGGTATTATAGGAAAAGAGAAAAACTGTGACGGCATTCACACCAACTAAGGTGTGCACTTTATATAATAAAATAGATAGATAGATGCAGCTATACATGTGCAAGTCCGATTGAAAGGTAGAAAGCATAGATTCACATCGCCTATTTGTTGAAAGCACAAAAAAGAGCACAAGAGGCAGATTGGATTGACTTTGTGGAAACCAAAGTGAGTAGTGGTTTGTTTGAGTCAATCAATGTGGCATTTATTTATTTATTGTATATTTATCAGATAGAAAAAAATTACTAATAGAGTAAGTAGCCTGAGTTAGAGAGGCTCGTTTAGTTAAAAAATTTACAATTATGATTTACATGTGAAGTGATTTTATGTACTTAGTAGGTGATAGGTTTTAACAGATTCACATCGCCTATTTGTTGAAAGCACAAAAATGAGCACAAGAGGCAGATTTGATTGACTTTGTGGAAACCAAAGTGAGTAGTGGTTTGCTTGAGTCAATCAATGTGGCATTTATTTATTTATTGTATATTTATCAGATAGAAAAAAATTACTAATAGAGTAAGTAGCCTGAGTTACAGAGGCTCGTTTAGTTAAAAAATTTACAATTATGATTTACATGTGAAGTGATTTTATGTACTTCTCATCTATTTGTTTGATGTAAAATAATTCTTGAAGAAAGAAATAGAAAACCCTCTTATGCAATCTGGGGACAATTTATCACTCTTTCTTTCTTTTCCTTTTTTATTTATTTATTTAATTTTTTTCTGACTTGTCACGGGACAACCACTTTGTGCACTATGCCAAAGGTTAGGTGTGTACCCAACACATTAATGTGTACTAATTGGGCGTTGTTTGTGTCTTGGAGGAAATGATTTCATTTACGTGTGAAACTCAATTTTCACTGAATACATCTGCCGTGAGTTATCAAATGAGATGTCTAAGATGTGTTGTAGATCTTTGATTCTAGATTTTGAAACCTTTTCTTAGTTTTACAAGTGTTTGTTGAGTTTTCTTGTTTCTTATGTTAAAGGGTGCTTAGCACGAGTTCTGTTTAAAACTGCAGGGGCAGTAGTGAATGCACTTGCAGCTATTGCTTTGGGAGCACCAGTTGGCATTAAGTGTGAAGTAAAGGGTCCATTGGATGTGTTTCTTTTATGTTGATTTTAAAAACTGAAGTCATAGGTGGGGTTGGAAGGAAATAATTTTGCCTCACTCTGTCCCATAAACAAAGCAACTTTTTTTTATCATTGACAGGTAAAAAAATAGTAAATACCTCTTGATTTCCAAATCATTGATATTTTTCATTCATGTTTGTTTTTTTCTTCTTTTCTTTTTCTTTTCTTTTCTTTTTCTTTTTTTTTTTTTTGATACAAGCAAACATGTGTAGAAATTCATTTAGAATATTGAGCTTCTAGATTAATTGTGCTTTCCATCCTAAACTACAATTTAAGTTTTCAAATGTCACGAAAAGCAGAAGCATATCCTAGCGATCCCATATTCAATTTTATTACAACTATATTATTTTTAACAAAACGAATTATTTTGCTCTTGTTACTGAATGCATGTTACACACATTTATTGATTTTGAATCTTTCACATCGGACACAGGTACTTCATACAAGCAAACATGTGTAGAAATTCATTTAGAATATTGAGCTTCTAGATTAATTGTGCTTTCCATCCTAAACTACAATTTAAGTTTTCAATGTCACGAAAAGCAGAAGCATATCCTAGCAATCCCATACTCAATTTTAATACAACTATATTATTTTTAACAAAACGAATTATTTTGCTCTTGTTATTGAACGCATGTTACACACATTTATTGATTTTGAATCTTTCACATCGGACACAGGTACTTCACAAGGACCCTTCACTGGTCACTGTTGATGTCATTGTTTACCATAAGTATTTGTCTAGTTAATACCTCTTGTTCTGAAACATCTCTTCATCTATGTATTGTTCTTCAAATTCAACGAGAAATTTGGAATTCTTCGTTTTCCACGAAGTTTTATGTTACATGTTGTGTCTTGTGCTGTTCTTTTGGAAACCTAAAGAAGAGTGAGGTCTTCCAACTTGTAGATTGTTATTGGTGTTGAGTCCAAAAGGTGTTACTTACATACTAGGTAGGATTTCAGTTGCTGTTTGCTTCCGAAAGGAAAGTATTTGATTGAGTATTGTCTAAGGATTTTAGATATCTTATTATTACATGTAGACATCTACTTCCAGCTCACCTTGGAAGTTCATTTTGTGATTGCCTCAAGTACATTGAATATTTTTCTGTTCTAAATTTTTGTGTTTTGGTAGGTTGTCCCTGCAGTTTCTGTTTTTGGTTTATCATGGACCAATTGGCAACGAATATTTGCACACACAAAGTAAGTTCTCTCAATTTATTGGTTGAAAAAACAAAATGCATTTATTCTGGTTTTGTAATTATCATACTCATTTTGTCTTTTATGATTTTACAATTGTTATCTGCATCTATTCTGGTTCTGTAATTATCATTCTCATTTCGTCATTTAGGATTTACAATTATCATCGGAGTTTGGCAAATCATTGTCACACATTTAGCTTTCATTGGTCAATCTATATAACTAATAAGCTATTATGATGTTTTGCATTATTCACCCTCATAGGCCAACTGGATCTGTCGATTATATGGTATGTCTACCTGCACATGGAGCTGTTATTGGAGCTTGGTTTGGGGCTTGGCCAATGCCACTTGATTGGGAAAGGCCATGGCAGGTATTGTTATATAGTAAGCTTGAAGTGATTCCGCCAATTTTCCTATTTTTTAGGTGTCTGCAGTGTTTAAATTTTTCCATTTTATGTACCTTTTTAAATTTGCTACTTTTTTTTTTTTTTTGGAAATTTAAGGATGATGGTAAATTCATGAGAGGTGATGCAACTTTCTTTCTGCGAACTTTTCCTAAACATCTGTCTCATCAATATCAGTTTTGGTACGTTATTTTCAATAGTTATCATTATCTAGGGATTCAAGAGGCTGTTACTTGGAGGCTAGTGTAATTTTGAAAGCTTGAGCTGTCGAGCACGAGAATACATGTTTAAGTTTGAGTGCAGTTCCATCTAGCTAATTAATACTTAATAGAAACCAGAGATCAGGTTCTCCTCCTAATTCTAAAGACTTGGGGGCAACACTAAACAGTGTCTTTTCATTAATAATTTTTTATTTTTTTTTTTGGGTAAGTAATTCATTTTCGTTAACTTAAACAATATGATAAAATGTTTCTTGTGGATCACCCAGTGGAACCTCAAATAAAAAATCATTGCATCAGTTTATGTTCTTTTGGAATTTAGTCTTAAAAATTATTGCAGAATTTGATAGCCCACTGTTTGGGTATGTTGGTGCACCTGCCTAAGCTACCACATTGGGGGTGTTTGTTTCAGCTTTTCAGAGCCAACTTATGGCTTTTAGCTTTGAAAAAGTTATTTTGGATTGTTTGGTTAAACTTATTTCAAACAGTTTCTGATTCTAACAGCTTATTTTAACTCAAAAAAGCTGATTCTGAGAAGCTGCTCACCCCTTGCTTCTGCTTCTGATTATCAGCTTCTGCTGTGGACATGCTAATTTATGGTTATACTCTTAAATTTTTTTATTTTCTATTTTTTTAAAAATAGAAAAAGACTCAAATGGACTATAGATTATTATTATTATTTTTTATGAGAAATGTAGACAAACAAAAAATAAAAATTAATTGAAAAAGTTATTTCACAACTTATTTAACAAACACTACTCAACAACTTAAATCTATAATCCAGCAGCTACACCAAACAGATTAACAACTTCTGATTAAAGTCATAATCTATAATCTGTTAAGCTATAATCTATAAGCTGTTTTAACAGCTACACCAAACGGGGCCATTGTCCTTTACTGGGTTACCTAAAAGCATATTGTATTTGAGATTTATGTATCTCCTTTAACTAGCCCACTCAAATTGTACAAAGATCATTGTAAACCCTAAAGTACCCCATGTCTTATGTTTTTGTTTTGTTTTGTAATGGTATGGAACAAAGACTGAAAATTATTCCAACAAGTAAAAAAAAAAATTCACCCTTGCTTTGAAATTAGATAAAAAGGTATGGAAGGATAAGTGGTGTTCCATTTTCAGGAGGGGAGCGGGGGGGAATCGGCAAATCCATAGCCCTTCTCGCTTCGGTGGGTATGTTGGTGCACACTTCCTAAGCTACCACATTGTCCTTGTTGAGGTTTAAATATCTCTTTTAAGTAGCCCACTAAGATCTGCAACCCTCCTCCCTATTTGGGTATGTTGGTGCATATCGCTTAAGCTACCACATTGTCCATATTCATTTACTAGGTTACGTAAAAGCATTTTGTATCGGAGGTTTATGTATTTCTTTTAAGTAGCCCTTACAAATCATATGAAGATCCTTGTAGACATTACCATGTTTGAATGGATGGACTGGATAAAAAGGTATTGAACCGTAAGGGACTGTTAGTCTTGGGATAATAGTCCCTGGACTATTTGGCTAAAAATTATGTGTATCCCATGTTTAGATGTCTGGAAATGGATACTTTAGTGAATCTTATGTTTTGATTAGGAAATTATGAAGATGGTTAACTTGTTAGAAGACCATTTTGTCATTTTGTTTACAATGACAATGCTAAATTTAAAGTATATTTTATTTACTAAGAGCACTTTTAATTTTATTTAAAAATACGACATTAGAAGTATTCCATTTATGATTTTGCTAATACAAAAAAAAAAAAAAAAGGAAAAAAAGAAAAGAAGACTATTACATATCATGAGATTAATTTACACATGTTTAGAAATATCCAACATGTTTAAAAAAATAAAGAAAAGATATTTATATATTGTTTTCCTTTTGAATATTATAAGTATAATTCCTTTTATCGATAATACAAAAAGAGGAAAAAAAATAAAGAAGAGAAGAGAAGACTATTATATATCACGAGATTAATTTATATATGTTTAAAAAAAAAAATCAACATGTTCAAAAAAATGTTTAAGAAAATGAAAGAAAAAAATGTTATATACTTGAAGGTCAATTTTGTCATTTAACTAGCTAATCTGGCTCAGTCCGTCCATTTATATCCCACACCCCCCATGGGATTGAGTTATCCCACATATGAGGCCCAGTCCGTCTATTTATATACCACACCCCCCCATGGGAATGAGTTATCCCACATATAAGGGACTATTTGTCTTACCTTTACTTTTCTAACCAACCGTTGGACTAATTGTTTTATTGGACATGGAGTCTAATCCCATGGCACTATCTCACGAAACAAACCCAAAGGTTATATTTTATTTTGCAATTGAACAAAGACTGAAAATTATTCCTACAAGCGGCACATGATGCATTTGGCTCACAATGTTATTTCTCTGTTTTCATTGAAATTAGATAAATATTTATGGAAGAATATGGAGTACTTCATTTTCAAGGGAGGGGATTAAAAAAGGAAATCGGTAAATCCACAACCCTCCTTGCATAGGTGGCCCTCATGCTATTAGGGAGTACGATGCGGTTTCAACCAAAAAGGTTGTGGGTTTACTTAAAACAGTTCTTTGTCCCAATTACTTAGGGTCTTGAATCCATCTTCTCCAGTTGACTATTTTAGAAGCCATATCCTTAATTATGTTTGTTTTCATTTGGTAAGGAAAACATAAAAATTATGCACAAATATGTGACCATGACACATTTATAAGAAACTATTATTAGAACTCCTGAATACGCCATCTTTTGAGGATTTCAAAAATGGTTTTGCATTTTTATTTTGTTTTGTTTAAGAATGATGTAGCAACCTCTGACAGCTGTGTAAATGGTTTCCATTTCTTGTTTTTGAACAAAAATATAGTGAAAAAGGCTTAGAGTGATGTGTGTCATTTGATCAAGAATTCTTGTTGGCTATGTTGCTTTATTTAACTGAATGCAATGACTATCAAGAAATTCTTTCTTTACGAATTTAACCAACTTCTGGTTTAGCTCATCCTAAAATTTATATGTATGAATTTTGGTTTGAACGGAAGTAAAACTAGATAGTATGACCTAGTCTAGCTCATGCACTTGATAAAGCCTAAACTTAACAAGTACTCATTGAAATATTACTAGCATTAGGGTCATGAGAAGAGTCAAATGCAGCAATAACCTAGTTTCATGATATTATCTTAGTCACTGTTTCTTGGCCTTTTTGGTGTATGCTTTATGTTAAATATTGTTAGACTGGGCTTGGCTTCTTCCCAAACTACATCAATTTTGGTTGAATGTATTGTTTGGTTGTTATTCTAATTTTCTGATTCCTCAACAAATTGAATTATGTTGGTAGGAATGGCCTATTTGCGTGAGTTATGGTGTGATAGCCGGGTACCTGGTTGCTATGGTGGCATCTTTCAGTTTCATACTACTGCGTGGTGAGCGCCAGCATGTCAAAGGAGAATAATTGGTTAAAAAAATTTGTAGATTCTCATCATTTTTTTGGGAGCATTTTGGACTACCGTTAACACTTTCTTGTCTCACACAATTTTTAATGTTAACCTGAGATTTAGCACTTAGATCCTTTTTTTAGCTTTCAATGTACTTTGGACATCTTCTAATCTTAAGTAGAAGATCTTGTTTAGTTCTCATTGTCACCATGAAACGGTGCATTTCACGTTTAAATTTTAGCTCAAGAGGTGCAGCTATGGCGATTAGCATCAATTTATTCTGATTGGGACTTGAATTTTGCCGTCAACATTTTGTTCTTTCTTTCTTCCTTTCTTTCATTTGTTTTTAATTAAATTGCTTGATTTAAAGTACCTGAATATCAGTGCACATTCACAAACTCTGTTGCTAGCAATTCTCTCTGTGCCCTTCCAAACATTTATCTGCAACTGGATACATCAACAATTTCCGGATAACAAAGATTTGAGACAACAATTTTTTTTTTGTAATTCGGTTTTCTTGGCTACCAAACAGAGGCCCCAACAGATGATAAGGAAAAGAAAAAGTGGGTCAGTGGCCCTAATTGCAGCGGTGTAATCCATCCATCTCCTACTAATGTTATCCTCTTGTGCCTTATTTTGCTCTAATTTATTGGGGGGACCCAGTAAGATACCTAAATTTCTTTGTCTTAATCTCTCATCATGTTTCAATTGTTTTTCTTTTCCAATCTCTCTCCTCCTCTCCCTTTTTTCATATATTTTTGTTTTCCTCAGTATTTCACATAAGCTGTTCAACTCATACCAATCTGGTGTTCAGTGGAGCAAACTCTGAGTGAGTCTGAGCCCACCCAAAATTCTGAACCAAAACAAAAAAAACCCATAAGTGGAGTCTTTGACCAGATTGCGTTTGTTTGGTTGTTTGTTTGTTTGTTTGTTTTTTTTTTTTTTCCTTTTTGAAATTTAAAATTCAAATAAATAGTGTATGAATTAATTTATTTTTCGAACTATGTTAAAACGTTGATAATAGTCACTTTTTTACTTGGATATAATGTTAGGGCATTTGAAAAAGTCTGATTACTAATTATGTTTCAAATTAATTTGAGTAAAAATGATATTTGTCCAAAATTATACATATCGATTCAAAATTTAACTATTTGTTTATCTGTAAAAATGTCACATATTTATTCAAATGTCACATGTCACTTATTTGTCCAACTATCTGTTCCAATATTTACATATATATACATAATGTTACCTATCTGTCAACCTCACAATCACTAGAAACTTTTTAATACGTGTCCTTATCACTAAAAAATATTAAATCTAGAACTAAATAACATAGTCTCATGAGAATGAAATTTTTACTAATTAATCCTAAATAAATTGATTTGTACACTAATTATTTAATTAAAAATTTTAAAATAATAATAATAATAATATAGAAGGCCCCCAAGCCTAGATTGTTGTAAGTAGGGGAGCCGAAGCTAGACCTGCCCGAGCCAAAACCTGAGTTTGAGTCGAGTTGTCTGAGGGAGGAAATCAAACTGGCACATGGCAGTGACGCTTAGGTTGGGTTGAGTGTAGACACTACTCCAGGAAAAATTATTGGTTGGTTCTGGGGCGTCACGTGCATATGTCCCGTACCAATTACAATTCATCATGCCCTTTCATATTCCCCAATTACCTAATACAAATTTATGAACCCCACTCCTTTTACCAATCATAATACCATTAAAGCATCCCGTCACAGTGCACAAAACCAACCAATAACTTCTCCTACTTCAATCTTCACCAAGTTCGCGTGACATGTCAATACACAGGCCCACAATCTCAATCACATCTCTACCCTCCTAATTTCACACAATATGACGAAAGTACCATTCTTCTCGACACGCGTTGTGCAGTGACTGGCTAGATGAGAAAGCAAGTGTAGACACTCCATTTTTTACCGCCCTTAAGACTTGGGCACCACAGATTAATCACTCAATGATGAATGCGTGCACTCGCCAAATGCTCAAAGTCCTTAGCAGAATGCCTCAGCTTTGAGCCTCAAAACCCTATGAATCTCTTGCCTTGTTTTTGGACCAGAATAGCAGTTTTTCAAGCCTAAACATCCTGTGACCTGCAGACCCACTAGTGTGGACTGTCGGCCACTATGTGGACTGCCGGCCATTAATGTGGCCTGCCGTCCACTATTAGTGGCCTACCGGCCACTTGTGTATTTTTTTAGATATTTTCTGCCAGTTATCCCCCCATGTGCATTCACCATTCCAGCTATATGTATACAGATATTTCTGAGATAGGCACATGGTTTTCTATATATAGATGACCTCCTCTCTTGGTTTCAAGGTTGGAAAAATTGAGGAGTGAGAAAATATTTTTGAAAGAACAAAATTCTCTCTCTTTGCAATTCTCTCTCTCTCTTGCAACTTACATAGCCTTTGCTCAAACACTCTAAACAAAACCTAGATAGTTCCTTGCTGAGGTGATTTGGGCTTGAATTTGAGCTCTTGAGGCACTTGAGAGTGTAAGATTGGTAGTTTATAACTCAAGGGTTCATTCATCTCCAAGATAATAAAATTGGGACTAAAAGTGATGCCAGATAATAAAATTAACTTGGGTTCAATCGGACGTTAATTGAACCTATTGAGTCTTGAGTCGTTTCATACTTGTTAGTGATGTAAACGGTTCAAGAGTCAATGTCAACCACTTCCCTTAATCAATCCATGATAGAGAAGGTATTTTGAGAGTCTTTAAATTGTGCATTTATTGAGTTGTGTCCCTTGATTCATAAGTCATCACGTAATGAAATTGCGCCGATTAATGATTTGCGAATCAAAGCCTAGCCCTCCTTTGACCTGTATGCTGATAAGGAGAGACATGGTGGACAAAAATTCCCTAAGAATACTCTGGTTTGGGCTTTGTTTGTCCTCTGTTGCTGTAGGAAAGAATCAACATTAGTGGCCAGCAGGCCATTTTTCTAGACGGCAACCCACTATTAGTGGCCGACCGGCCACTACTTTTGAGTTGCCGGCCACTTTTTCCAGACAGGCAATGCCCTTTTTCTAGTAGAGCAGAGTAGAAGCTAAGGTGAAAAACAGTGCATTTTTTTCCAATTGTACAATAGAGGCATTCCAGTAGCAAAATGTAGAGCATTATCGGGTGGAAATTTGCATCCATGCATGAGCCCTCCCTCGATCCTCGGGACCCACGAAGTGATGTTGTAATAATATCAGTGTTGTGCTTGGAGTAGGAGGTTTGTAATTAATTACTTAGAATAACTATGTGTTGTACTTATTTAATTAGCTAGAATAGTAAGTTAAATTTTGTTGTTGTAATAATTAGTTAAGTAGTTTAGCTAGTGTAGCTAATTTATTCATTTGGGTTTGTAATAGTTAGTTAATTCGTAGTAATCAGCTAGGTTATTCATTCGGACCCTCCTGCGCGAGGGCAAACTTGTAATAATGTGTATGTCTTACAACCCCATGTCTTTCTTCCTTTTATTTACTTGCTTATAATGGATAGTTTAGAACATCATGTTTCTTTTAGCATACTCCATGATTTGTATCCACTTGTCTTGCATGAATCGAAACTCGGTTCATCACTCTGACAAAGCATTGTCGTTTACATACTTCGTTGAATACATTTTTAGAACTCATACTATCAAATTGATGCACATGTCATAATTAGTAGTCGAGCCTATTAGTTGCACCATTGCATGTGTTACATTAGTCATGTTGCATTAATTAGGAGCATGCATGTTTTCTAACTCTTCTGTTTGTTTTGGCTCGCCTCGAAATACTAGGTGAGTATTTTTGTGCTTTAGCATATCGCATGAGTGTGGTTGTTTCCATGACTAACATGCTTACCATTAGGCTAATTGCTTAATTGATAAATTGCTTGAATGCTTATGGATGAAGGATAATTGCTTGAATTGAAATAATTTGAGTAATGTTCATATGCAATCACTTTTTCAAGTGGTACATATTCAAACACTCTTCAAAATAAACATGAAATCAAAGTGTTCCAATTTTTTTGCAAATTAGTCTATACTTGTGTGCGCATCACAGAGTAAGTTAGCCTAATAATCGGAATAAGAATATATAATGTAAATAAGATTCACATCATGATTAGTAGAGGCCGATCTTTGATCGGGCGAGCGGGGGTGCTCAATTTATGACCTTCTCCTCTCGTACCTAAGCTCCTGAGCCGAGACAATCTTGGTGATGACAGACACGTGGCTTTTGGCATAAGTCATGGGTTTCTTAAATTTTTAAAAATATTTATGTGGCGACTCTGTATCTGGAAAAACAGTTCATTTTTTTGCATTTTGATTCAAAATCGATTTTCCAAAAGATTTGTCAGATTTGAACTTTTTTGTGTTTATCTATTTCACATTGCACTTGTGGAATCATATTCAAAACCATGAGAGTCTGAATTGTAGGGTTGTCGTATCCGAAAGGAGCACGAAAAGTCGAGCTACAATTTCTGGCGACTTTGTTAGGGAATTTAGAGAACTTGACTCGAACTTTATGATGTGAAATTTTATCTACACTTATATATTCTTTGCATTTGCATTTGAATTGGTACGCTTAAGTCACTATGTTTGCCATATGCTATTCCTGGATGGTTTGCCGGAGGCTTGCCCAAAAGCTTGCCAAAAGGTTGACAGGTCGTAAGCTCTGCCATGTTGGGAACACAACCTTTGGATCTAGGCTACTGTTGTACCGTTTGATCCTCCTTTCACTTCTCTGTGTTAGATGTGAGAGGCATATTAGGTAGTCTTGCTGAGATACACTCTTTGACCATTTGGCGTAGTTGCGTATAGAAAAGCCATATGTAACATGCCCGGGAGGTACCTCGTACGTGTTAAACAGTTCGGAGCCTCAATCTCTTTGATCTAGTCTCACTAGTGCAATGTGAAACATAGAAGAGAGTCCAAATTTGGCAACTTTTAGAAAATCCATTTTATTACAAAAACTTTTGCCTAAAATGGATTGCGTCATCAAATCTCAAAGTCGGCACCTAATATTTTTGGGAAATTAGGAAACCCATAACTCGTGCCAAGGCCACTGTTCGTCATAACCAAAGTTGTTTTGATTCGGAACCTTAGGTATGAAAGGGGAAGGTCATTAATTGAGCACACCCACTCACCCGATCAAAAGATCGGCCTTTACTAAGCCATGATATGAATTTTATTTATTTTATATGTTCATATTTCGATTATTTAATAAATCCTAAAAATTGCTATGTGAAGCATACAAGTATAGACAATGTCATTCATTTTGAAATAATTTGATTTCATGTTGTTTTGAAAGAGTTTTGGAGATGT